ATCCTATTTCCTGTTATCAACAGCCCTTTTGCAGAACTATAAGTATCAGATAGAAATGTAAACACTTATAAATTTAGCAAGGCAAAGTAATTGTCAGAACCACCAAAGCAATGAAAGCAAATGACAACTTTCTTGAGGAAGCGGACTGAACATGTGGTTAAACAAGTGTCTTGTGAAAAACCACAACCGATTCTGCAACATTCTTAAAAGGACAGGACAGTTATTCCATCTCATTCCTGAACTTGCTGAGAAGCCAAAAACTCCATTCAAAAAAGCTTCTCTAGATACTACAAGAAGATACTGTAGATTGAAAATTTAACATAAAAATAAGGAAACATTTACAAGTAGTGCATGTTAAAATGTGATGTTGAAAATGACCAATGACTTGCAGAACACTCTTCTTTTAATTGCTTGGCCTTTGTATTAAAAAGTTTGCATTTTAATTGAGCTGAGCTGGCACATTTATATATTAAGGGTCATTATGATGGACAAACAGGCCAACTGGGAACTTCTGAAGTATCTTTTGGTGTGTACACTTAGAAATTGTTCTTCTATGACACAAAATGAACTAATTTTTGGTTAGCTGAGGAGGCCAAAGAAATACTGTTATCTGGCTGCACTCCTTGCTTCTCTGTTCCTGCATTGTATTGTATTTGTGTTTGCATCAATTACTTTCAAAAGGGAAGCTCGTGTTAAATTTCTTTAGGGCTGAAATTGTAAACAGAATCTAACATGAATATTTTAAATAGAACTTTAAAGAATGGACTTGTGCCACATTCACTGGGCTCCCATTTAAGGAAATTAACTGAAAGTTGCCAGTTCTCCACATTTTCAAGATTTTTTGGAAGAGAGCTTTTGCAGATTTTTAATTACAGAAGCACACACATTGAGAAAACAGCTTCATTTTCCTGCATCTATCTTTGACACGAGGTAACTAAAAGATCCATTTACAAATTCAGACGTTTTCAAAATAGAACATTAAATATTTATAGATTTGTTTCATAAACTGTCAACAGGCGACTCTTCCACCCTTTGGCTTCCACTTCAATGGCAGGGCTGATTAACTATGGCCTAGAACTTCTGCGAGGTCTCCTCTCCTTCCCTATGCATCCAGTAGTTTTTCCACAAGCATTTTAAAACGGGAAACAGCAGAAGTGCAATTCCTTTTTAAAGAAATGTGTTTTTTTTTCCTGTGCTAGGTAAACTACTAAATGTGCAAACTCAGCAGATACAGCATGCCTTTCTACCTCAAATAAAATGGTTTCTTTGTGCTGCAAAAACTTTCCAAGGAGCCTCGAGACCTTGTAAAAAGTGTTTTTTTTTTTTTCACTTCCTCGCTCGATCCCAGGCACAGCCCCCCAACTCCCCCGGCCCCCCCCCACCATGGTCCTCTCAGTCAACTCGAACATTAAACAGCCAGGGCAGGAAAAAATGACTCCAGCCATTTACAGAAAAAAACCCTGTCTGGTCCAAACCGGAACGTCAGTCTCATTGTCTGGCCGTCTCGGTTACTCCCCACTCTGTTACAGGATCATCTATCTTCACACGAACACTCCTGGTTCAAAAACAAATCCTGCTGTTGACCTAGTGTGTATAACTCACAAAAGCCATGCAAACCATTAGCTTCCACCACCACAAAACATCACAGAAACCCATCTGGACATCTATCTCAGTCCCTTCTACAGAGGGTTAATATGGAGCTGAAATATATACGGTTCCACTTTTTCTGCTGTTTTTTAAAACTCTACATTACAAAACAGCAGAGTTACTAGCTATCTTATCTACTGCAAATCTGCACACATCCCTGACAACTTCTATACCTCTAGTTCACAGAATTTTTCTGCACTTTCTCTCCTATACTATGGGGACCTTTTTAGGAAAGTAAGAAATACATTAATAAAGCTGTTATAGTGTTATGTGTTACATAGCAAACAGTGCAATTGCTGAGCAAGACACACAAGAAAGGAAAATTAATGTTACAAAAGAAGACAAAGTTTGTTGATAATATTCATATGGAGCTTTGCTGTTGTAGCTAAGAAATCCCTCCTCAACTACTAATCCAGTCATTGTCTAGTTCAGAATGTTTAATCAATGTATTACATTATAGAGCAAAATCATTATACAACTTTCAGATACTGTATGATAGTCCAATCACATTTTTCCTGTTTCCAGATTATGCAGTATTAATAAAATATGTGCCAAATTGCAAATATCACCTGGAAGTCTACCAATAATGCTTTTATTTTAAAAGCTACAGACTTCTGAATTATTTTTTTAACTTTCTTACACAAGGCTTAGTGTGATCTAATAGCTTTGCACACAGAAAATCCAGACAATAATTAGCCAAATAAATCTCACCAATGCAGTCATTGATTTAGATGCCGACAATGAAAACTATGTGCTAGTTTAAAAGATACCTGTTGCGGTATTAATTTCCAGGTATTCGACTTCCATCATTTCCTCTCCTCTGAAACCTTTTCAGCAAAAACAACTATGGACAAATTCAGCTTGTGTTACTGTTAATTAACCCTGCTCGCCTCTGAAACAGAAACCTGATCAGATGGGCACCTTTGCAATGCAAACTCACCAACACATCCCAGGAGAATTTCATTTAAGTTAACAGTAGCCCTTTTTTGTGGAAATAATGAACAATGATAGGAAGAATGCCCTGGCTGCCC